TGGTCATTTTAGACTTAAGTTTCTCTTAAATTTCGTAAATTTCTCTGGAGGCTTTTAGTCATCTCTAAAACGAAGGGATTGGATTTAATAATGGTTAGTGTCTCATTTCCCAAATTTTGTGATCTGAGGTATATTTTGAGATACAGGGTTGGATTTTTTGTTTTTCTGATCTTTATGGTGTATGTGTAGAATTTGAATGCAGATGTTTTTATGTGATCAGTTTCTGAATCATATAAATTTTGCTTTGAAATTTAGTACTTCAGCAAACAATAAATATGGCTTTTAGCCCCTTTTTCTCTTTTGATGAGTTCTAGAAAAATGTCCCTCATTATATGATACATATGTGAATATAGCATAGACCTTGGTATATTCCAAAATTGGGCTGCTCCCTTCAGTTATTTTTAGCTAAGAACTTTGAGGCTTGGTCATATTAGTACTGGAAGACAGAGAAGGACCCTTCCAGTTGACTTTAAGGACTTATCCAACTGCTGAGGAAAGCCCCTTTTAAAGCTCCTTACCAGGATCTCCTTCCCAGCACCTGCACTGGAAACTCGAGCTTCTGTTCAATCTGGCCTCATCATTTCCTATCTTTAAAAATTTGCCCCAATGATGAGTATGGGCTGACTTTCTTTAACTGCTCCCTTAACTCCAGGTTTATGGACTTTTTTTTTTAGTCATGAGAACTCCATAGATAGATTTATATTTGGATTGATACAAGGCCCTCTTTCAACCTTTTTCATGTCTGAACTTTTTATTTCTTGAGCATCTCTAAATCTAAACCTAGGTGGATTTATGCAGTTTAAAGCTGAGGGAACAGTAGACTTCTAACTTACCCTTTCATTTTATAAATAAAGAAATCAGGACTTAAAGAATTGGTGATGATTTTTCCAATGTCGGTTTTTTTGTTTTTTTTTTAACAAATGAAGAAGTTCTCTACATGCACACAGAGAAGTGGATTTTAGTTGCATCAAAGCTATAGGCTGGAGAGCACAATCTAGTATTTAGTGGTTTATTTCCATAAGTTTATGTCATAGGAGTGAATGTTTTAGGGTAAGAAATCTGTGACACAGATTTTTAAATTCGAGGCTGACGTCATTTTGCCTTCAAAGAGGGACTCTAGAAGGAAACTATTTTGCAGAAGTAGAGATTGGAAAGTCTTAGGGAGTTGCTTTCTCTTCTAAAATCTCTTTGGCCTGTTATGATATAAATTCTGCATAAAAGCCCTTATGTGAAATGAACATTCTATGGTCTCAGAGCAGTTGTGTTCATGTTCCAGGTCTTCATACAGTATATTGATAGACTTTCTAATCACTGAAAAGCCTATACCTCTCACATATCTGCCGAACAACAACAAAAATTACTAGAGGCATCTTAGTGTATACAGTAAGTTCTCACTTAATGTTATTGATAGGTTCTGTGACTTTAGGCAGCATGAGGTAAAATGAAACCAATTTTTCCATAGGCTAGTTGATATAAACAACAGTTAAGTTCCTATGGCATCACATCAATGTTATAACAAAACTATATTATTCAAGGATCGGCTGTATGTGTTTTTAAAGTTCAGGAGAGGAATCACTGTTGGGTTTTCTAAAGAAATTTCTTCTTTAGTTTGGCAAAGTGTTGGTAACACTGAGGGCTCAATTTAAAATATATTTCTGTGTATTAGTTTTATGCCAACTAGTTAGTAATTTTTTTGTTTTGATTTGGTTTGATTATTATTATTTTTTTTTATCATTTAACTTGCTTCTGTACTTTGTTTTACATGTTTTGATTTTTATCTTTGAGTCATAGGATATGTTTTAAGGAAAATGCAATTTAAAAAATTTAGGAAGCAAATTATACCTCCACCATGTCCTTCCTTACTATTTGGCTCCATTCTTTGTTTTGCTTACAGATGAAAGGCTCATAGAACATCTTTTTTGATAGTTGTTTGTATAAAAGATTTTTGTGTTCTGCATAGAAAAATAGGATGTTTTAATTTATGTGTGACATATGGAGGAAGAATAGTTCAGAATAGTTCAATGTAGATAGTTAAAAATATATTCAAGAATATTAGGAATATTAGTTTATTCTTCCCATACATTCACTTAATTGGTGTATACCAAGAGGTCGAATTGTCATATTTATAGTAAAATGGAAAATAGTTGGGCTTTCTATCTGCTCATAAAACCTACTATGTACAATTATAATACTACATAAATAGACTGTTCATGTGAACTAGATGACATTATACAGGACTGACATTTACACTTAAATTCTGAATTTGATTTTATTTGTACATATCTGAATTAAACTATAAGACTTAACATAACCTGCATCTCCAGGGTGTAGCAAAAAACGAGACAACATAATTAGAATTTTAAAAGCCGTAATCCTAAGAAAGCATTGTTTCTTATCAGTGACAATATGATATTTTAAACTAGATTTTATGATTTTCTATTGTTTTCAAAACACTCGGTGATTGCTCATCATTATTTGAGTTTAAGGTTCTTGCATTACTGTGCATCACAGCTTAATATAAAATCATGTTCTTTATAAGTACAATTAATAATTTTCATTTTGGGAAACTTTAACAACTGAACTGTAAAATTCTGTAATGGTTAACAAAAAATAAAAGCTACTTTAACATAGCATTAAAGAGTTAATATATGTAAATGGTTAGCATTAAAATTCTGTAATGGTTAGCATTAAAATTATGTAATGGTTAACAAAAAATAAAAGCTACTTTAACATAGCATTAAAGTGGTTTACATATATTAACTCTTTAATCCTGCGGTTTACATATATTAACTCTTTAATCCTGCAACCCTATGAAGTAAGTATTATTCTTATCTCCATTTTACAAATGAGAAAAGGAAGGCACAGAAGTTACATAACTTGCTCAAAGTTAGTTAGAGCTAGATTTTGAACTTAGCCTTTCTGGTTCCAGAGTTCAGGACCTTTTTGTACAAAGTTCTACGAATTCAGTGATTTCTTCCTTTATAGATTATGGTTAAAAATCCCAAATCTCTGAAAGACAAAAGAATACTGCTTTTGGTTGGGACGCCTACAAGGGGATTTTACCTGGTATTTTATTAATGGTAGCTTAGGGCAAATTGCAAAACCTCTACTACCTATGTTTCTTATATGGCAAAAACCACATATTAAGAAAGCAAAACAGGACCAGATATTTCCCTCTTAGAAAAAATTATCTATGGAAGTTAATTACTTTTGAGTTATTTGGAGAACAGGCAGTGTAAATAAAATGTATTCTATATTACTAAAATGTCTTATCCTTTAGTGTTAATTTCCAATATAAATTTAACAACTTTGAAATATAAAACAGAAGACTAACACTGAAATTTCTGAGTTATCTCCAGTCTCATTTTCAAATTGGAAACGTGTGCAAAATTAGTACATTAATCTCTTTAGAACTACCATATTTAGAGTAATATATTTAAATTAGTGTTTTTGTTTTAATTTTAGAAAA